TGAAATATATAAAGCATCGCTGGAATCATTTTCTCAATGACAGATTTTGCTAAATTTGGTTCAGATCCACCCTTTCCTTTATTTTATCTTCATCGCTTTATATATTTGAATTACCGTTATCAGAAGTTAATAAAGGCAAATTATATTATATTCAAACGCCGCCTGTCATAATTGCATTCAACATTCAAGCTATTGCTCTTGAATATTTTATCGCTGATAGGTATACGTCAACGACAACGGTGGTGATAGCTCAATACGTACTGAAAGAATTACAACCTTCTCAAAATGATTCAATCTACATGTAGTAGAACTAGTAGTCACTTGTGAGAGCTTTTACTTCTTAAGAGTAGACCAAATTTCTTTAAGAATCGCTTTAATACCGGCCTTAGTAACTTCTCTAAGGCCGAGAAAAAGGTGATATGAAAGCAATTTCCGATCTCGTCCTTTCATTGGTTCGCTCTCTCATTAATAGCTTGCACATCTGTAGGTAAGGCCTTTTCAATATTTTTATAAATTCAACAGAGTCAGGCCATACCGAGCAAAATATATTTTTTTATCCGGCTTTGCAGCTAAAGGTTGCTTCATAGATTCTAATCTGTCCTTTATCAGCTAGTTCAGTTTACTTGTACATCACAAGCTAAAAAGGTAAATACATAGTCGCACCAATGCAACTAGACAAACAGCTCATCTCCAATTACATTTGAAAAACATCTTCGGGTCGATCTTTCTTTCTTAAACCGCTTCTGGAAAAAAAGTAATTTTATTATGATAGATTTTGAATATTCACGCCTTATGGTTTCCGAAGACATCCTGAGACTGACTGAACCTCGTTGGTTTTGATTAGCCTTTAATATCTTGCCAATTTTCTATTTAAATCTCGCATATTTATTTGGAAAACTACTACACATAACTATGACTAAATCGTACAAAAGTCTAATACCCCAGCTCTCCCTTTTTAAGCACTGGGATGATGAATTACATTTTAAAAAACTTATTAGCGAGTCTTATATCGATAATCGTCGGCTTATATCTCAGAAATGATGTGTTTTTTTTAATTCAAATAAAATATAGATTGATTTCATTGTGGCTAGAGTAACACTGTGCCAACCTCTTAATTTTGTCGGTGACGGCTGAGACGGTAGCCAGACTAGTGTCGCAACGTCATTTGGCAGACATCGCTCGGCCGAACCTGAACATCCGCGGAACCTCTTTTTGGATGGAAGCTTTTATGGATGAATGGAGGAATGAAAAAGAGGAAACTGTTACCAACAGCACTGAATGGACATATGGAGGCTGCGAGGCCCCGCTTTCCTGACACTGCCCAAAAGGCTCCATGCCCGAAAAGCTACAAGACACTGCTTAAAAATTGATAAGGGAAAGATTTTACAACTTCTTGGTCCGAACTAGCATAAACCTACGAACAGTAAACTGACGAATATTAAGCTTGCTACGACATTACATTACTGGGTTATATTCCAACTAGACGTAGTGAATTTCAATACATATACGTCTGTTCAAAGAAGCCTAACCGGGTGCACCATCATCTCTCGTTCGGAATTCTGATAAGGCTTGGGATTAATTTCCGCACAGTCAAAAGTAGTTTGTAAAATCCCAAATCCTTTTTAAGTTGACAACAATAGAGAGATTCTTGACTTTTACGCACCTCCTAATTCTTTTTTTAGCATTACCTTGGCGTAAGAGATTGTTGGAGTGCAACAAAGCTTCATGTGGACAATCTAAAATTATATTGTACATTACATAAAGAAAATGGTCGTTTTTTACTTGAAGAATGTCGTGAATACTGTATGTTATGTAGTGCATAGCTATTGGTATAATTTAATTCGTTACGCTCATTGTAAATCGAATATGTAACTTCTAAATCTCAACTGCCTAGCCCAACTAAGCGTGAAATAATTATTACCCTAAAGTTACTTCTTGATTTCACTACCAATTAGTTAGTGTGTCGCAATTTTGAAAACCCTTTTGATTCTATTCGAAGAAATATATAGACATTATCGAACCGATGCGAAAGTGATTTATTGATAAAGTAATATTTGTGCTATGAAATCCCATAATAGATAGATGGTAACGACTCGACTGAGCTACCGAATAATTTATCTCATGGGGGGTTGCTATTAAGTTCTGCTATGTAGAGTGTCGATTAATATGAATCCCAAAGACGAACGATGATTGTTAATGTAAAGTTGTACATTCAATAAACTGTTAAGTTTAATTTTGTCACTTTTCTTTGGTGCAATAAAGGCAACCACGGAAGTTAAAAGATCGTCGTTTCGGAGAAATCGAATGCTCTTAAAAAAAGGTTGGTAAAAAAAGATACCATATTTTTGAACTGAGTAAGTTGATTGAAAATTATCTTTTTACGACTGCACAGGCTAAGTATGAAAAAAAGGTCTACGAGACTTAAACTTCTGGAAAGGTATATTTCTTCTCCCGAAACCCAAAGAAGATTCTGAAGCACGAAAACAAACGAATTCGTGGTATTGAAGATACTAATGCTAAAATTATGCTGAAGACAATGAACTTGTAAAGACCTTGGCTCTTGGTGACGGCTTTCATTGTTGTCATACTAGCTCTGAAGTGAATACACATAGTATCTTATTGTTCACTGGTGAACATAACCGATGAATCAATAAAAGCAGATTAGTTCTATCTGGATATAATTAAGCGCATGAGGGTTTTCTACAAAGAATTAACGAAAGCTGGTCTTCGTTTTCATTAAGACGAGGTCCTTTCTATATGACTTGTTATCGCAGTTACACTTTTCACATCTGCTTACAAAAAAACCCACGTTGATAGTTATAGGACTATCGCATAAATGCTAATTGAGTTCACCCTTTTTGAAAGTTTGTAGTTTCATATTTAGAAAAAGTTTAGTTTCATAAATAAAATGAATTCTAAAAAAAACTGCTAGATGATGAACGAATCAGCTAAAAATAAAATTCATTAGAACGCGATGAATATGATATAGGACATGACGATACATTACTTCGATTTCTCTACGGTGTTCAGTAAAGTCACCTACCCGCAGCCAATCTCAAAACTATATAACCTTAAAATATATAATAAAATCATCGTTTGGCTGCCTGACTGACAAAGTTAGCTAAACGAGGATTTGAGTTACTGTTCGCAAAGATATCGCGTAAAAGCCCATTTGCCCCATACTTGATCTCAAAGATGTGTTTCCAAAGTGTATACTTTAGTTAGGCACTAAATTTCAAACTGTATACTATTTGCGACACTTCTGCAATCCTCAACTATCTTAGCTGCGAACGACCAGAACCTAACGAAGATCGATATTTCTTCCGACGATCATGAGATTTACATTTTAATTGTAACTATCCCCAGAGCTGAGTCTGTTCAGGATTCAGGAGTTTCTGTTAGTCCTCTTTTAAGCCTTGATTCTCATATTATTGAAATTGTGCAAATTCGATATGCAGTGTTCCTGTGTTTCGAAACCGATTTTCACAATAATCTTGTGGTTCTTAAGTGCATGAACTACTTGGACATATGGCGCCCCTAATGACAGAAAGGCATTTCACAAGATCCAAAGGAAATTTATACGTAAAATCGGTGCAAGAGGTGGCTTTTCTAGAAAATCCGTTGTCTTACGGTTCAGAAACAAACCGTGAGGCTTCCACTATTAAGACGTTGATAGCCTTGTCAATAAATCAATTCGCAGTAAAAAATATTCTGTGCAATAGCCGAACTATGGATGCTCCTAAAGTTGCTCGAACCGAACATATTAATAACGTTGTTGCTTAAAAACGATCCTACTATAGTAGTAAATTGAAAACGATACTTAGCTACAGCAAAACGTGTTTCATGCCGTTTTGTGATAGTTTATTATTATACACGACTATTATAAGTGTGTTTATAACGATAGCTCCAAACATGAATGTCGAAAACTACCGTCAGCCATGAGAGATGGACATGCATGATAATAAAAGGTGCTTCCTATTGTTCTTCAAAACCATAGGAAATGTGGCCATTTAACGTTGGGTCAAAAAATGCTTTTTAGCTTAATAATAAAATATTTCTTTTGGATGAATTGTCAAAGTACGAAAGCGCCCTTTATCCATCTATGGATCAGGCCCGTGCTTCGGATGTTCGTAGAGTAAGACGCTTCTCCAAGCAAAAAAGCGTAACATGTTTAGCTGCACAAAATATTATATGCAGCATGCGAATCACTTATGTTGTACCAGTGTAATTATGGCTGATCAGTTCCATAGCTAATCAATACATTTTCCTGCCGTCATTTGAACTACCCATATTTATCAACACAGTGTTTCCTGTGAAAACTTAGGCAAAATAATGAGCCATTTAAGATTTGTTTCAACTAGGATATCATATAGTTCAATACTTTAAGTAATCGGATAGCTATTAGGAATTTTCTTCTCCGTACTTTACCCACTTCTACAGTATCCATACATTAAATTACGTCTATGCATTTCAAATTGTGTTAGAGGGAAGATTTCTTAGAAACATCTTTTTCCTTCGTATGTACACCGCATTCTCATCGCCGATACATTCATACTATTTGTATGCATTTTTTTACAAATAATAGTTTTTATAAATAATTTTCATAAATTACTTAGATGTGGAAGACCCGACAAGGAACTTAGTAATGTCTTTGTTATACCATTCCTGTACATATTTAGCGCCTTCATATACGTTAATGCGTAATGGCCGCACTAATTTACTTAGCTCATACCAACCGGTTTAGGAATCACCTATGGAGTTCTAGATTCAAAATGTATATACACGTTAAAGGTAAATAATCCAGAATTAGTTTATTAATCAATCATGTTTGCTTAATCAAACTAATTCGGTCCTTGTGTTTGTGTGCCTGAATAAGGTTTGAATTTTATGAACTTGAATTTTAATAGACGAGAAAAGATACCTAAACAAAAAAGGTAGTATTATAAAGAGTTTTTAGAATCCAGACCGCATTAAGCTCATTTAAATGAAACTCAACCAACCTGGTAATATCCATCATCGTAATCGATCGGCTCATAATACGATGATTCGTAGGGTCTTCTGTCTCTATTTGTGGAAGAACCAGGTGTTGCGTAATATCCATGCGTGCCGCTTACTTCCTGAATAATCATTAATTGCATTAATTATTAATAATTGCAATAACTACAGCAGAAAATTGATATTATACTACTATGAATGCCAAAGTTGTTGATACATGATGGAAAAGAAACAAACACTAAACAGAGATACACGGTAATTTATAACTTCGTTATACTGATTTTATTTATTGCTTAACAATAGCAATTATTACGATCTCCGGTGGAACGCGGCTCGACTTGTGCTGACAAACGCAAACCGCTTTTCTTGCGCGATTAAATAGATCAGTCTTTTTGGCCCTGGTTTATTGATAAGTATACAAGCACCGTGCGCGTAAATTTTTAGTAAAGCTATGTGGGCGCACGGAAAAAATAAATTGCTATGAAGTAAATGTACTATGGCTTGATAGTTACTAGTATTCCTCTAAATCTAAAAGGAATTGGACATGTCGTTTGAATGAAGCATAATATTTGCTGTAGATCAGTTTTTTGAGAGATATTACACTCATTTTATGGGGTAGAATGCTTTGAGAGAGGCACTTTTTCGATGTAGGTAAATGTCTTTGCCCTGCAGAAGTTTACTCTCTGAACACATACGCTGATATGGCGACCTTAAACATCCTAGATATTTTTCGTTGAATCATGTTTCAAAAAGCGTTGAAGGTGGACTCTTGGCACGTCCACCAGTTATAAAGAAGAATAGCTTCACCGTTGGACTTAGCCAGCCGAACATTTCTGATATCAGGAATTGAACATTTGGCTTCATAGACATAAAGCTTACTAAGCTAGGACTCGGAGTCCCATTTACGTCAAATACGGCTGTAGTATGTAGCCATAATTGAAAGAGCAACTCCAACTGGGTTTCCGGTCGCGATACTTCCATGCAGTTGGACATCAGATAAACCTGCAAGTTATTCTTAAATAATCCTCATGCGGTACCGCCCCAGAGCGTTTATCCCTCTTGTACATTTACAATGGCCTACAATGACCTTTCCTCTGTGGAACGTGTTAAGTTTTCGACAGCTCATTTGGTCACTTCGGCCCATTATAATATTTATCCGATACGCCTGTGCTCTCTGAAACGTTCACTAAACTACAATTTGAATAAATCAAACACGGATTATATGGTGATTCGGGTCTCTGTCAAGTCACATAGAATGAGCTTCAAAATCGACAGGCTGCAGGCTATGGCAGCAGCAGTAAAACTCAGCTATCAGTTAAGTATTTCCTACAACTAACGTCATCATAAAAAAATAAATTCTACAACAACTCGACAAAGCAAATATACTCTAATTCGTGTTTTTCTGTAAATTCAACTGTAACATCGGTCCTTTCTATCGCAAAACGGTAACTCTGGTCGGTTTTTCCTGCTAACCGAAATCTCACGCAAGAAATGCCATGAAACATTCATTCGAAGGAGTATTTCTATGAGCGCGACCGGCGCAAATAACTTATATGTGACCGAAATAAAAAAAGTAATTAAAAAACAATCCGCAGTTATCTAACAGATGATGAACATCGTCATGCGATTTAAGGAAAACTAATTAGATCTGATGTAAATTACAAAGAGAAATTGGCTCCTATCTCCGAATTAGAAGCGCGACTTAACCTAAACAAGGCTGCGATACCGAAATAGCTATCGAAACCGCAATCCCTGCTAGAAGACAACCTTTAAAACGTACAAATGCACTTTCTGCCTCTCTGGACGGCATCAAAATTGATTGACATATACAAGTAAGCCCCCCGCTAATAGAAGCAGGGTTTAATCCCCAAATAATGAGAAGAAGCTGCTTTATCATTCAGATAATAACGGCATTTTTTCAACGTGCTTAACAGCTGCTCTCTGGAGGGGAACCGCAGGCGGGGGTATGCATGCGCTATTTTTGTCTAGTTATCTCTGCTTATCTCTGCCTAAACGTCACCTGGCAAATACATCAACGTTCAAATAATGTGAAGAGCCACTCATATAAGTAAACGAGATTTGGAGAGTTATTTGCTAGGCGTCTTCAGTAGCAGCGCCAATCACGGAGATACACCTTGATCTACAAGAAGATGAATTTCCAGCGAGAAGGTTTCGACCTAGAAGATCTTGACACTAATATAAACCTTCAGAAAAAGCCAAGAAGGTGCTTAGGCCATATTATAGTGGCACACTATGGGTCTTTCCTCGCTGTTCAGCCAATGGTTCGTGATTACATTTTCTGACACAAAAAAGTTTTTAATGGGATTACAACCCATTAGTGTGTGTCAGTGTTAAGTTTATCAAAGCCATGTAGAACACAAAAGAATAATGTTAATAGGACGTACAATCACAAGCTGAGCCAAAAAATAAAATAAGTACTTCTCAAAAATTAGCCACACATTATGGTTGACACTTTTGCTCATATCACTGCTTTTTCATGAATGCAACGTCCTTTTATATACACATGACTACTTTTGTCTCGTGTCCTTTGTTGTTGTTTGTTTCGGAATGTGTTAAAGAGTATTTAATGATTTAGTGAGAAATGCACTTCGTGATTTTCGGTTTCTTTACCTCTATGTTCGAGTTCCACATTCGATATCGCATTCTATTAGACGGCTGGCTTCCAGCATGAGACTAAGTCTGTCTATGCCCGGATGTGAGTTTAGACCACAATGTGTCTTTAAGATTAGCAGACAAATACGTTAACTATGAAGCATGACGAGGACGCGGTTCCCTTACCTAACTCTACTCACCAATTTCAACAAACAGGACTGGCCAAGTGTCGCTTGCAACAGAAGGTTGTAGGCGTGACTAAATATGCTGAGTTATTTCTGCTAGCGCCAATGCTTTAAACGCCTTCAATTTTCTATGCCACGAGTAACAGGACTCTTCATACTATAATATGGCAGATTCAACTAGATATTAATTCCGGGCATATCTCGTGGTCCATAGGCAGATGATAAGGATGCAGTTTCGATCTTCCCGTCAGGAAACGTCACTTGAGGACCCCCTAAGCTTTTATATTGAACCCTATCATATTCAGGACGATTATGAAGTTTAATATATGAAAGGTGAAATTATTCGTCAGAATTTACCGTAAAGTATAAAAAATCTGGACTAGAGAACTGTCGAAACCTAACTAGCTGAAAAAAGAGAAGAATGCACTCCACTGGGTTAAGTAGTACCTCCTCGAATTGTTTGAACTCAGTACCGTTAGCGACAAGCACATTATTTATGAGTTTATTATGATGCATGCACATGCCGTAGCCCTTTCCGTCAGAAATGTAGAACTAATAAAACAATTTAAGTGTGAGCATGAATATTATTCATTAAAAGCATATCCTAGGCTACCCTTCTGTTCCAGCCAAGTAGGCCACAGCTAGCAGTCCTATCGAGATCTCTCGGGCAATGATTATACACTCGAATCCATTGGTCAAAGTTTGAATTTCTAGGTGCGACCGCTGCTAAGCATCCTTATATTAATCATTTCGGCTATTCAATTAAACATTTTAAGAACCACTAAAAAGAATAAACTAAAAAATATGTTTGCTTTTACATACAGCTGTTTTGAATTAATACTTTATCCCGGCGGTAATGCCACACTTAGCGCTAGAGTAATCTATAATACACTGCATACATATATTAGCTTTCTCAATACCTTATCAAAAGGACAGGGGACGATTTTGGCATACGATATGCAGTCTTTACACAAGTTCGTGATATATCAGTTAAACGGTGTCAAATACTTTATTCTACGATACTTATTGCAAAGATGCTCTATAAGAGCACTTGATTCTTTATGGCACGTAAGTAAGATCTCCTGGTGGAATCGATTTGAGTTGCTTATTTCAAAAATTCATTTATTAGATAAACTTCAAGCCATCTAGTCAGGAAGCATCAAAAGCAGCTAACTCCTTAAGTCTTCGCTGAGGACTATTAAAGGATTCAATTATCGGTGTAGTCTACAGATCGACTTGAAATATCTTCGATATTGGATGTCATATTGTATTGGCAAGGTTATTAATTCTAATTTTTGTCGTCAGTTGTGGACTTCGTAGCGCAACAATTAGTAAATAAAGTTTAATTATGTTAGAGACTTTATATTCAGTAGAACGATATAGCTCGATGTAACTTCTGTACGCATAAATCATCTTTGTATATTGTATGCTTCGACATTCTTAAACTATTTTTTGACTAAACCTACCTTGTTATCTCTGAACGAGTTTTTTTGTTTTCCGCTGGTGGTATAAATATTCTTTCCTTGTGCTGTCTCGACATCATCAGGATATCCATAATCGTATAGAACAGGCCCAGGCGTTGTAGGCCTTTTTTTTGATTTCCTCTTAATGTTCACTGTAGACGGTGCTATGGATATATCAGAAACGCCATAATTTCCTTCGAACTTCGGCAACGAAGTGGATCCGCTTATCGTTTCCTTATCTTTTCTCGTTCGGGCAATTTGTGTGAGGTAGTCATGATAAAGAGCTTCCTGCGTCCGCGACCCTGTATACACTGGTGCAGGTCCAGGATCAGGTGCATGATTATGAAGAAGGTCACTAGAGTTCGCTGGAGAACCAAATGTCATCGCAGCTGCCATGCTTAGAATTAACAGTTCACACCACATAGATAAGTTAAGTTTTGCGGATACTTGCGTTACTTTAACTCGACGATTGCCACGACTGACAAAAAATTACTAGCAATAGATATTTGAGTCTGCTGGACGACAGCAGGTATCTGGTGCGTGAGTGGCTTAAGAGCTTCCAATGAGTGAGGGTCTTCTTAGAGAGATACGTTATTTCATGCGAAAAAAAATAGCCTTTGATGCTGATGATGATTGATAACAACAGCAATAAGTGCATTAGAACTAAGAAAAGCGTCAAGCGAAAGGGTGCGAAAGAAAGCACGCAAGCTGGCGCGCTGGCCTATAACTCCCTTACGGCATTACACGTTGGGCGTTAGTTTGGACGACGTTATTAGCTACTATTGGCTAAATACCAATCCTCTATGGGCATCTCAAAATAGAAGACAGGTTGAATTTTAGTCACAATCGATACATTGCAAACACATTCAATGAATAAAGCTAGCTGTTATCTTAATATGGTATTTGAAAAGAATGTGGGGAAGTCAGCCCGACAACGCTGACGACGACCCCACCCGCGTCTTCCTATTAAAGATGCTGCTAGACTGCGAGTTACTGAAGCAGTCAGCTACCAGGATATGTTTATGTTGAATTAATTTGTTACTACATCTACTTTGCAACTCCAAAGCTTGCTCGCATTACCACTAGGAATATAACCATAAGTCACATAGAGAAATATAATTATGATCGCAATAATGGTTAGAGTTAGGTGAAAGGATCTTGACCGCATTATTTAGTAAAAATACAGTTATGCCTATTGTTGGCTAGATTAAAATTAATCCGCTTGTATAACTTTCATCTTTATTGATTCGTTTCACTGAAATATTTGAAAGTAGAACTTGTAGTATAGTTGGCTGTTTCATTTCGCTCAAGGGTATCATAAGTCAGAAAAACCCTGGTTGGAAATGCTCTACTCATTTCTTGTTTTATGAAGAGCAGGGGACTACCTTGAGATCTTCCTAGTAGCAAGAGGGATAAGCAGCATTGTCGCGAGCTATTCTGACTCAAGTAACGGCTGCACGGTCTTGTTCATTTATATATAGTGCCATCACTGCTAAACACAAATAAAAGCATTCTTACGAAGAGTGCTTCTTCTAACTATTCGTTATTCGCTTCTCCAATAAAAATGGCGGAATGCCCGTTAAGCAGGTTGCTTATAGATGGAGGTGAATTCCTTTTTTTACGTCAGCGCAAGTTTTTTGACGAATTACTTTGAACCTCCTGCCTTTTCACTAAAAATATCATTTATTGACTTCGCGTTACGCAAATGTGTACACCCTATTTTACATCTGCGGCTGTGTAACGGTTGTTACCATTGCACAGCAGCAGATGTCATAAAACAGCTAATAAATTTGGCCATCGTGTGTTCACTCCATAAAAGTATGCGATTTTCCGTCTGAGTCACTATTTCCAACTAATTATTGGCACAGCATCGCCTCCTAGTTCTCATTCTATAAATCGTAGCTGTGATTCTGTCCGAGCAAAAAGCATTCAATTCCACCTCTATTCAGATGTTCTAACTGTAAACAATGGCATTCTTTATATAGTCTCGCAAGTACTGATGTCAATTTATTGGGAAAGGGTAAGGAGTATTGTGCCAGTTTGCGAATTTATACAGACTCAATCAATTCGATAAAAATTGTTAAGAGTCAAATCTATAATTTGCAACTAGACTCTTAGGGATGTGGTCGTTTCAGTGGACAGGTTCAAGATGCACTTATGTCAGTCATGTTCACTTGAGGAGACTACTTGTTCGAAGCTTCCATTAGTAAAATAACCAATGTTTGATCTACGCTATGTTATTTTATTTGTTATATTATTATATATTTATTTATTATACTAATAAATGCATGAGAGTTTCCGAGTGGTTTTCTTTACTCTTGTGGGGTGACAAACACTTTTGCAGTACATCAAATCCATTCTTAACGAAACTCTTAACAACAACTGAATTCTACAGTAAGTGTCTTATGAACTATCTGTGCGTTAAATGCACGAAGCTTAATCTAAACGTTTCCGGTTTTACGTCCTTATTCGGCATTAGATATGTTTTTAGACAAATTCATTCGTTGTAGTGGCCACAGGTTGTCGTTTGACACTGTACTTTACATTCGCGTATAGTTAGCACTCAGTATGTTTAGCGTTGGTTCCTGCTCTTGTTTCGATTACTGTAATTATTTTGTGAATTTTCATTATTATCACTGTCCTAATTTATATTCGAACATTTATTGACCCTATCTAGTGCTCTTACTGATGCTAACATACGTATTAAAAATTTGACTCAGCTTCTTTTTTCATTGTCAGTATTTCAAATTTACACGAATTTGGTCGAAGAGCCAGCGGTCGCTGGTTTAAGCTCCAACGATGACGTATCCGACACATCAGGTGCGATCAAACAGAAATAAATATTTAATTGTCGGTATTACATGCGTCGAAGTCCGCTTTCCACTTGAGTCGACACCGCGGAAGGTTGCCTCTTTTTACTGTTAATGCCCAGTTTTCTTCTTGTCGTTTCTTTGTTACCTTTAGTTTTTGCTCCATGTGAAATCTGGTACCCTAAATTACATGTGCGCAGACTGGGTTATGACCTATTGTTACAGTGCATTGTAAACCTTTAACTGGGCGTTCTAGTCTATAAAACTATTATCACATTTACATATATTATATTGCATAAAAATGCATCTCTTCACAGTCTTATTGTCACTATGAATCTCTAAAAACTTCATGTACCTTTCATGCATACTAATTACAGTCCTTTTTATATTTTCTAATTTCCCTTTTTTTGTTATGTATGTGATTTGTGTTTACAGAGTCAACTACTCACTGCGCTTTCTTTTTTGTGTCATTAATTCTGCCTCTTCTGCCATGTCTTCTGGGAACATTATATTTGCTTACTTTTTTCGTTAAGGGCTCTCGGGTTTCTTTAGTTAACAGCAAACACATTGCTGCTATACCACGATGGGAACAGCAGAGTACGTCTTAAGCGTTTATTAACGATTCTAATGCAATACTGAGCTTGCATGATATCGAGTAACCTGTACCAGTATCAAAGAATTAAGGAGTACGCAATGGTAGATAAAGTTTGGTGACATTCGTTTAATAACCTATGTCTCGCATTTTTAAAATGATTTAATTAACCGTTTTCATATTTTTTTTGCTTTTCCAGTTGTTTCTAATGGAATGTTAATAAATAATTATATTTAACGTCAAAATCAACTGTTAATCGTCCTAACTTTGAATTTAATAATATATTCACAGCTACGCATGTATGTGACTGCCCCAGTAATGCTGGAAATTTCAGCTCCAAATAAGAAAATAATCTGGCTAAATCGAAGTTTTTAGGTAGGCAGGCTCTCCTAGAAAGTGTAAACTTGTATCTGCACTTACATATCTGTGTAATCGTGTATGCTTCAGTGATAAAGATTTCCTGCCACTTTTATGACGTATCATTTTTGACAGCTTATGGTTTGCTGGAAAATCAATAGACAGACCCAACGGCCTTATAACCATTCTTCGCCCCTAGTATATATACATAGGCGAAGGACTAGTGTCAACGGGAGGCGGTTCGACTGATGATTGCCGAATGAAAACCAAGCCGGCTATATAACGTACAAAGTTACCATGCTCGCACGGTAAAGACTAGGAAGGGAAATCGCACCAGAAGTATCATGAAAATTTATCAGAAATTAGTATGGTGCGATATTTAAAGCAAAAAACTAATTAGACCTTTTACTTTGACAGTAGAGTTACTGATGCAAGTTAAGATTCAATGTGACTGCAAAAATATAAGTTACGTAAGTGCAATAACCTATTTTATTGTTTTCATTTTTTTTTTTACGTATTTTATGTTAATGCACTTTCTGCAAGAACCTACAGTACTACGCATTCGGAATGGCTTTTGCTACGCCCTTGGGGGTTACGTTTCCGGGATGCTTAAAAGGCTAAACTGATCACTCTGGATTATTTATAAACGGCAACTGAACATCAATGTAAAAAGTGATGTGAAATAGAACGTGTAATAGACGGATTGGACATAAAGTTCTCATAGAATGCTTTGCCCGATTTCGAATTTTACTAGCATTTGGGATAACTTGCACTACACATTAAGATAAGTTTTACACACGACGAGATACGAAGATATCTGAGTAAAAAAGTGTTACTCTGTGTCTTTTTGTGCACTCAGCTAATAGTTTTGACAGAAACAGTTTTCACATATTGTCCAGACTTCTTGCCTAGAGGAGTCCTGCCGACACTGTAACGTATTTAAAGACATTGTTTGCCCACTATTTGTCTATTAGCTCTTAACCCTATATTTTCTTTAAAGCGACCTCATTATTAAAGATATAAAAAAAAATAATAAAATTATTCTCACATTTGATGAAGGTGAATATACGTCTAAGGTCAATCCGCTTTGCCGCTAGAGGACTTATTGATTACGACGATGGAGCATTATAGTGTTTTATTTCTATGATCTATGATTTATGGAAACTGGAATATAAGGTATGTAGCCTTAAAATATCTAGATAAGTTGTTAACTGTCACCGTACATGTGCACATGTAGAACAATTTAAGACACACATTTAAGACACTCCCTTAAAGGTTAGTTACGCTTCTAAAATACCACCAGTGTTTGTGCATAAAATAAACACCAAGACTCAAACCAAACTAGAAAAATTATCATTGACAAAGATACCCGAAAAAAGCAAGAAAGCTTTACACTTACAACTGGCAGATATTAAACAGCTAATATACAAGAACTACTTGGGGTCTTTTACCCTTGATTTTCAACTAAAGTGAAGAATGCCATGTAAATACTACGTTGTTGAGCACGATATATTTTTACTAAAAAATCGTTGGATGAGAAATTAGATAAGCTATGGTGCAGGATAGCGGAAAATGTAGGCGAAAGTGGAGATTAATCGATTTTCAAAAACATTAGAGGAAAAGTAACATATAACCTCAAAGTAATATACAAAAGTTTTCTCCTCTAGTTTAGGAACAATGCATTCAAGCAATAGCTGTTTGGCTTGAGCCAGGAGGACAATAAATCTTTAAAAACCACTCC